ATGTTGCAGTATTATTTGGAGAAAAATAAGAGCTACTCTTTCGCCGCAACGATTCATATATGAAACGCATTGTACAGATTTTTTTTTGTCTGCAATAACCATGTACCGCGTCTACGTGCGACAAGCTGTTAAGCTGTTTTTATTTTGGAGATTGATTTTATCTAAATTAAATGAAACATTTATTTTTATTTTGCAGACAAAATCTCTAAGGTTTTTGAATACCTTGGTGCAAACTTCTCTATAGAGTAGTTAAAAAACAAAAATTTCAAAATGTATACATGCAAAAAATCCCATGTGAAAATTTCAGAATTTATTTTTAAATGTCATCCTGAAAGTGAAAAATAAATGTGAAAAAAAAAAAACTATAAATATTTGTGTTTAAATTTAAATTATTATACACACGTTGCACACCATATTCAATTTTCTCTCCCATTAATCGTGTAATCGCACGCATTCATTCAGTTAGTAGGTGCCTGCCCCGGCCAAGGACTTTTTTGAATTTGCATTTCTCATTTATTTTAGCCAATGTGCATAAAGCAATACTTACGTTTTTTCCTCATCTCCTCAATCAGAGTTTATTGTGAAATTTTTATAAAATAATCATTAGTATCGTGTAAAAAACAATTCTCAATAGACAGGTCTGAAGCGAAAGTTAAAATCGTTTATTATAAACTTCGAGCGGCGTATTTTTTGTCGAATTCTTGCCAACAAATAAAAATGGGAAAATTCTTCGACGAGAAGACAGAAAAATTCCAAATTATTTAATAAAGATGAACTTTTCCGCACTGCGATCCACAACATGCATTTATTACATATCTTTTACTGTAAATATGAATTCATGCGAAAACTGAATCTGACATTAGTTTTGCGATAAAAATAATTTACATGTATCGTAATGACGTGAAACTTTGCACAGGGTATTTTTTTTCACACAAAAATAACATTCTGAAAGTTTGAAGAAATTTAAATATAATTTACTTCTAGTGGAAGCTCGAGTTTTTACCCTACATGCTACTAGTCGTCCACACAAAATGTTCGTTTTCAGGCAAAAAATCAGGCCCCTAAATTGTATTAAAATTTCTTTAAATTTGCTGAGATTGTGTATTTTGGCAAGAAAATAAGATTAACAAGTTTTTATGTGAAAAAGTGAAAAATCTAAAATTTTGTTCGGGAGGTACCCCTAATATGCATTGAAATTTCTTTCTAACTCTCAGAATGTTATGTTTGTGTCATAAAAATAAGCTGTGCAAAGTTTCAGCTCATTACGATATCATACAGCCATGCCTTCTATACAAATATCCAAATTTTTAAAAAAATGTGTATGAAAAAAAAACTAATGTCATATCCGGTTTTCATGTACCCAAAAAACCCCAATACAAATTTTTGCGTACAGAGTACAGGGTACAGGGTACGCACATACATTCGGACATCGAAAAAACGCTAGATTCGTGTTCCCTGGCCCCGAAAACACCCAGAAAACACATTTTTGATGGGTGTTAATTTTTCGACCGATTCCAATACTTTACTACTTGGTAGTACTTACACACTAGGTGTGTGCGGAAAAGTAAAAATCGAATATGATCCCGTTCCATCATAACAAGATTTACTAGAAGATCTGAAACAAAGTAATTTAATATAATTTATAAACAGGTTCTTCCCCGAATGAAATAAAAAGCATTTTTTTTTTTATTTTTGACATGTATTTGGTTTCAATTTTTTTATTGAATTTTTATCGATAAATTTCAGTTTGAAATGTATGTTCATCCGTATCTTTTCGAAAAATTCATAATAATATATTTTAAAAATAATAATCGATAATATAATCATATTAATAATAATAAATTAGCGAATGCAGCGATAGATAATAATGTGTATATAATTTTGCTTTGTTTAATGCATATTTTCATTTAATAATATAGTAAGTACCATTTATACAAGTAAAAATTTGTCTAAAATTTGCAAATAAATGATTTGATCTACGAATTTCGTTTTGTATAATATCGAATGTTTGCGCCAAATGGTTTTTCTTTACTATAATATTCATATAATCAAAATAGACAGCTATCGGGCCAATTAAATGGAATCGTTTGATTATTATAATATTATATTGAATCGATTCACGGCAAAAGTTTAAATAACGGTAAACATTTCAATATGAATTATTTCTTTGTCATTTATTTTAACTTTTGCTTCATCATTACCATTAAATTTTTTAGCATTGAGATAAACACCATTAACACTGGTTATTTCGTATAAAATATTAAAAGCGACACTAAAATTAATGCCATTTCCGTGATAGTTTGTAAACATTTGCATAACATTTGACAATGATGCTTACTTTCTATTCAAAATAAAAGGTTTAGGTAATAGTTATGAGGCAGATTATTTTTGTTTAGGAAAGAACATATTTTTCAATACGAACAAAACAGAAATAGATCGAAATAAGAGGAAATATTTAAAAACAAAATTGCTTCAAGTCTTGGATTTTATTGAGATGAAATTTTGATCGAGTTAAATCGAAGTATTCAGAATAGTGATGGCACGAGAAAAAAAAAACCAACCACATAAAATACTAGCGTTAACTAAAATCACGAATTTCTTACAAACATTATGTTGCAACATAGTTTCCAAAATGACAATTGATCAAATGTTTCACGTAGATCTTTACATTATACCATAAAGATTACTCAACATTGACATTATCAAAATCGATAAAAAATATAAACATTTTGATTTTGCACCGACACTTTATTCGCCGAGATCAGTCCAAAAGAATCTCAGCAACAAAATAAAAATGACGATATTCTAACAATTACGCGACAAGAAACATGTGTCGAATGATTTAATTTGCATTAGACTCTTATGCTATAGATAAGATAAGTAATGCCAGGATGCCAGGTTAAGCTTTTTTTATGTAAATTGCAAAACTATTCAGCTGCATATAAGACGACATCAAAATAGCTATATAATATTTTCATCTGTATTTATGTTGTTTTTTTATTTGGTATCTGATTTAAATTAATTACGCATCAAGTTCTGTGTATATGTGTATAATGTTGTTTTACACCGCTCATAGCAGTTTTAACATGCAGTTTCATCTTATTCATTACCAATTGTTATATATATATCGAGGGGGGTGTAAATGTTAAATCGTGTGTCTGAATAATTAAAAAGTGGGTTTTATATACAAATAAGCGCACATTTATCATATATATAATTATTTTGATACATTCACGCTCTTACAGCAGCTGTTTTGTGTCTGTAATTTGCGATTTAAAAAATTACATGCGCCATATAGCTTTGAGAGAAAAATAACGTATTTTTTAGGTTGTGTTTGCTATTTGCATTTACATCGTACATTCATCGTTTTCAGCGAGTATCAATGTAGATCTACATGCTAAACGTCACATTTAAAAATAAAACAAAATATCTTCACTTTTCAGGTTAGTATGAACGATTCTGGTTCATATTCGACAAAAGTACAAAACATTCATTGATTTCTTCATTATTGTCCAACATTCTTCGATTTGACATCTGCGATGAGATCGGGCGTTGTTATCATTTAGTTTGCTTCAAGTTTCTCACTGGTACTGTCCAATGTTACATTTGAATCTAAGCTCGCACAGTCTGACTCCTGCTCTGGATTGCTGGTATAATTGGCCGCCTCTTGTAATCGTATCAACATATTTAACTGTTTAAAACAAAAAAAATCGTTTAATGTCATGAAAACAAAAAATGTGGATATTATAACTTACCAATGGATCTTGTGAATCCGAACCATTAATAGCACCACCTTCCAATCCAACATCTTCAGCATTTATCTGTCTCAATGGTGGTATATTTTTCGTTCCATTAATCGCTGTCCATGGATATGTTTCGCGTACAAATGTAACTGGATCCACCCATGCACCGCCACGTCGACCATACAACTGGACACCTTCACGTACTGCTTCCAATAAATACTTTGCCAAATTATAGTTCCAAACATCGGTGAACCAAACTTGAGCATCGGTCACATCAAGAGGACACGACAAAAATAGTCGCGGTCCAATGGTCACATCACTTGAACTGTGTGTTTCAAGGAACCGATTGATATGCTGCCATATAGTTGGAATCCATGTAAATATCGCTGCCAAATGTGGTTGACTTGTATTTGTGGCTAATTCAAGTGCAAATAATCGACGACGCAAGAATCGAGCCAAGAATCCTTTAACCGGTTCCATGTGATTTGCAGTCAATACCCATCGAAAATTGTGATGAAGTTGTAGATTTGTTGTGTTGCACGTTGCCTGTGACATTGTACCAATGATGCATGGTAGCTTCGATGCAGGACCAGCGCTCAACAGTACTTGAAATACATCGCCAAGCGCCGATGCATGATGCAAATTATCCAAAATAATCACAGATGGTAGCTCAGATGCACAATTGGCCATCGTCGCTTGAGCAGCTATGTGACCCAAATAATGCTGAAGCTCTTCCGACGATTTATGGTCGACACTAGAATAAAAATCCAAGCATTAAAATTAATAATCAAAGAAAAATTACACCAAAATGATGATTTTTAAAATGAAACCTACTTGAAAGTTGCAATTGCTTCATTTGGATTATCACGTTGAGATTGTGTAACAAGGAATTCGGCTAATTTTCGTGCCAAATACGATTTGCCCGTGCCACTTGGGCCGCATAAAATCAGACGACGATGATCGTTGAGCAAATTAATGTATCGTTGAACGATACTGCGTGGAATCAAGCTGTCGAATGCAAGTGAACCAACATCTTGCAAGCAAATATACAGCGATCTAACACTGCCAATAATATAACCGCATGGTAGTAGTTCAGGATAGCCAATTTCTGGGCCCCGTTTTGCTTCGCCCAAATGGTATGACGTAATGGAATCGGTATTCAATCCCAAATTCGTTCCGGGATCGATGCGAGCCAAATAGTCTTTGAATGTTTTGCGTACAATGTAATCGAGATTTTGCCATGTTGTTTTACCCGAAATATAAGTGTAGGCAATGGTAAATTCACTTGATGTTGAGCACATCGAGAATGATTGTTTTTTCTTTTCAAATCCGTTTTCATGAATTTCGCCAATTTTTTGGTCGAAAAATTCATTTTCCGATTGTTGTAGGTCTTCGGAATATTTGACAAAAGATTCCGGTTGACCCAAATAAACGACAATCGAAATTTTCTTGCCGTCTAGTTGATCTTCGGGAATTTCTTCGGCCGGTGTTGACATATGATCTGAATGATTGCCATTCAAATGCGAATGTGTTGGACTCAAATCGGAATTTTGTTTTAATGAATCTGGTTCGGGTGCGGGTGGTGGAATGTCTTCTTCTTCGGTTTCATCCAAACTCTTTGGCAAATCCAAAGGCTGTAAAAATACATGGAAAATTAGCAATTGACACAGAAGACGGAACCAAAATGAATTTTAAGACTTACCGGACGTAAACTGCCATCAGCCAAACTGTATCGGCGTTGATCACCAATCGATCCATTCGGGCTCATTGGACCACTGTTGCCCAATGACACCTGGCTGCCGGCCAACGATCGACTCGTTACCATCTGTTGCAATCGTTCATTATTATGTTTCAAGCTCATCATTTCTTGTCGCATTTTATTCACCGTTTCTTTGAGACTTTCGAGCTGTGATGCCGAACTCAATGCCTCCAAACGAATATCGGTTAAAACTAAGTCTTTTTCTCTGAGTTGTTTTTTCAAATCTTCAACGATTGGATTGTTTTCCTCTTCAATGGCATCGATTGGTTTGGCATTTTCAACGACTGGCATCATACGATGTGGACTACCTTTTGTCGGCGATGGCGGCGGCAATGATGTATTTGTTTCATTCGATGAATTCAAACTAATCGAATGGCTCGATGGTATTTGTTCCAATGTTGTGGCAACACTGACATAACGACCATTTTTCGCTAATTTGGCATTACGTGAAAACATTCGGAATGATGTTCGCAACCATCCCGATTTCTTTTTATTTTTATCTTGTGTTGAACAACCCGAACTGATTGAATTCAATGAGCACATCGAATCAGAGCTTAAATGTCGCTCGAGCAACGCATCCGTTCCAAGTGCGGTCGTTATTGTTTCGCCCGATAGTTTTGAAGCCGTTCCATTCGATGGTGTACTTTCAATTGAATTTGTTGATGACAGCCGATTCGTTGATTGATCCGTATTGCTCATACTTTGAATGTGTGCCGTTGTCAAACCAGCCTGAATCGATTGCTTGCGCAATAATTCAATTGTTTGACGCATCTCCATCAGTTCACCATCTTTTCGTTCGGCAGTGGCCGACAATTGTTGCAATCGCTGCGTCATATTACTTAAACTTTGCTCAAATGCTGACACCAAGTGCGCCTAAACAAAAGAAAAAAAATAAACACACGAATTAAATGATGGAATGTGGAATACATTGTTTAAAGGCAAATGCGATTTGTAATATCAATGTACAGTGCTCAATAAATAATTAAATTCTTGGAAGCATATTTATCGCTGTAAGCCATCTCGATTTCTGGAAAATAAAACCCAACCGATGAAATAATTTCATTGTATTCGAAATTGATGTTAATTTATGGTTTCGACTATCTCGAATCACGTATATTTTATCATCGCTCTGAGAACAATAGACACAGTGAATTTCAATAATTCGACTATTGAACCTGACCATGTACTAATGTTCATGCTCGAAACGAAATCAATTTAAATGTTTCAATTTTATCAATATCACCATTTTGATACTTGGGTCCTCTTCAATTTGTATCTGATTTAATTTGATTTATAGTTTTTAACTCGAAATATTGACGATTGCATCACGCATACATATGGTTTTTTTATTTGTTCGTTAAATTTCATGCTCGACTGCGACTAATTATACCAAAGTATAAACTATTTAGTGCGAAATATCCAGAGAATTTGCAAAATAGAATATGAGTGGCATTGAACGATTTTTTGCTGTTTTGCTCTACAAATGAAAGATGTTCAACTCGACTTTCAATTAGAGCCAAGGTGTTAATAAAAGCTAATTGATTTACAATTCGGTATCATTTGATTCGTACAAATATGATATTTGATCAAAACGCAAAAAAACGAAGTGTAACAATTCATGTCGAATTAATCGCCAGCTGTGTATGTGTTACTATCTATTGCGTACAATTTATATGATATTTTCAACGGCAAGCAACAAAATGTTGAATCTTAACAAGATTGCAAATGAAATCAATACCAAATATGGATTTTTAATTCATCATCATCTCTAACGGGATGAAGTGATAAATAGAAACAAAAGATAAAACACAATATGCTCAAAAACTTCGGACTTATGTTCAACATACATGGACACGATCGAAACTCAAGGAGGGGGGTCAATCGGAGGAATTTTCTTTTCAAATCGAAAGAAATACTCAACCGACTATGGAGGTGTAGCTCGAACGACTTTTCCGAACTTACACCTCCCCTTATGCCCATGTATGACATTCAATCCATATAATATGATAAAATTGTTTTCTTGTTGTTCGTACGCTGTGAATTGTTTCTGGCCATATGTGTGAAATAAAACTGCAATAGGATATTTATCATGATCGAAGCCAAGCCTTATTTCAATTCAATTTTATTGCATTGTCATATGACCAAACGCCCGAATGCCAGCTTCGCTACGTATTTTGATGCATAAACTAAATTTTATTGCATCTTGATTTGTGTGCCCTGTTTTGTGTCCAATACCGACACATGGAACGGAAAAAATAAAGTTGACATTGCACGCTGTGTGAAATGTGTTGAGAGCATTTTGCCGATAAAAACGCTTCGTTCAAATTCTAATACAATAAATGATGACTAATGATTTTGTTCAATTAAGCCGCATTTTCGTGTTGCAAGCGGCGACAATACCGTAACTCTCCCATCAGATTAAAATCAAACACCTGAACTGTTCTGTGACAGTGTTGTTGGCGTTTTACGAATGTAAAAAACAAAACGAACCATTTAAAATCGGTTAAGAAAGATATCAGATTTTCTATTCAAATATCATGTTATGTGTCGTGTTTATATAGACTTTTTTCTCTCTCTTAGTGATTTTCTTCGCATTGAGCAAGACAAATGACTAATTGATTCCCATTTATCTTGTGATGGCTGAAAAACAAATTCAGAAGAAAAAAAAATGAGCGTGAACACACAAACATTTTCTGAGTACTTATGACGCCCTAACGAACATGATTTGCACTATTATGTACGCTTTTTTATGATCACCATCAATTCTAATGGCATTTTACTCTCTATTCAAACCAGCTCAAAAGAAGAAGAAAAAAGACAGCAAATGAAATAACTAGCTAGGAAGGTTAAGATGCCACCTACAATGTACAAACGTGTCTCAATTTCGTTTTGAAATTGTTCGTAAATTGAACAAATTGAATCGACACAATAAATTGATAATTTATGAGCGCGCAATAGAAACCTGGTTACAGGGCTTTCGCAATGCAAATCGATTTCTATTTGTCAACATATTAAAAAAAGAGAATGAAATTGCCTATCAAAGGAGCCAATTGCACTTGAATCGATTGCAATTAGTTTCGCTTATATGGATGATCGGTTTGAATTAAAGAAAAGTTTGCAATAAATATTTGAAATATCACATTTTATCGCGTTTGCCGTTTGCGTGACTCATTCAAGCGTTTGATTCTTATTTTAAACGATGCTGGAATTTTTGTGTGTTGAACCTGTTGGTGTGAATGAGAACAAAAAACATACACATATAAAACGTAAATTGACGGTGACAGTCAGTCGTAGATCGGTTGTACCGTTGCCGGCGGCGTTTCTTTCAACTTGGATAAAAGAAATATTTTGTAAATATATCCGATCACAAAAAAAAACAATTTCTGAATTCCGACTGTTGATGATAGAATTAAACGTAGAGAATGGAAGTGATTATAATAAAAGAAATAATATTCGCAGCATTCAAACGGCATATAAAAAATTATACATGTTTCATCGGCTTAACAAAATCGTTGCAACGACGACGTTGAAATAAACAAAACGCACATTCGACAAACCGCAACCATTCACACAACAAAATGTAAATATATCGATCGCAATGCAGATTAAAATCTGGTTGTCACAATCAAAACATAGTAAAGCGAATATATATGCGGATACATGCTACTGCTAATATTTATTAAGACAACGATATTAAATTTATAAAATCAAGATGGAAAATATTCAACTGACTCCTATTCAAATCCAGCCAAGCCAAAACCTATCATTATGTTTTTTTTATGATCATTTCCAATCGGAGTATTAATTAGCGATTGCAATTAAATATTGTAGTTAGTTGGCGTTGAATTGTATAAGTACTAGTTTTAAGCACCCGAGAGAGGAGTAGAAGAGAAAGAATCTTGGTTTGCTTTTATCACGTTACTTTATCGCATCGATAGTGTGATTCTTTTATACTTTATCGGCTTACTTGATGTTTGCTTTGCTGATCTATTTGTCGCTTATTTATTGTATTAACGCCTCTTTTTTTATATTCATTCATACAAGATATTTCAATTCAGAACATGTTATTCACACATCGTTTCTGCTGATTTAATTTTAACCATCAGCCAGCAAATGTGATACAACTATCGCTGTAAAGTGCGATTTATTTTATGCAATGGATTTAGTGAACGTTACAATAGGTATTTTTGTTGTTGTTGATTCAATGCTGCATTTGGATTCAGGCAAATATCTATATAGTATAATTGATTGAAATCATGACACTTCCTGTTGTGAGAGCATAAAATAGAGAGCCGATCATTTCTATTAATTTTAATTGAAACAAGAATATATTTGTTAAGTTAACCGTGACTATTGGCCCGATATGAGTGTTCTTGGGATTCATGTTTCCATCGACATGCATATAGAGACAGATATGGATTTGAAAACTGGTAACCGATAAGAGAAATGACCACACAAGATGTCGAAACCGTTTTTGGGTCCAATATCGTCGTTTTTCTTTCTTTCCTTCGATTTTATTATTACTGCAATGGTCAACCGAGAATTGTTTTATGCTACACATTTTAATTTAATATGAAACAGACATTTTAAGTAGGTCTGAAGTCTTGTGTTCACAGTAATCGATAACAAATGCGGTGTGTATGTTTTTTTTACTTCGCCTTTCGGGCTAGAAGAGAGGGAAAAAGAGTCCGAATACCAAAATAATAATAAACTTTACGAAACCGTGAAACAATAGAGACTTTCTGTGAAATATTTGTATTGCATGCTAGAAAATGGTTAAAAAACCATATGTTTCGAGACTTGATTTGTATGTGTATTGCAATTCAAACAGTATGGAGGCAGACAGTCAAGAAAATAAATGCAGTTAGACTTGTCCATAAAATATAATATAAACCATACATTTCTGCACATAGACCATATTTTTAATGTGCCTGTCAACACACTCAATTCATCGTGTATTGAATGAGGAATGAGAAAACGAAGAGAGAGAGAGAGAGAGAGAGAGAGAGAGAGAGAACTCGGTGGTCATATTTCTTTCTTTGTCCTATCCATTTAGATGCACATTCAAAATGGAATGTTTCGTCTTCACATGAGAAGTGAAGAGACACACAAAACCAAAATGCCACATAAAATGGTATTTTTCTTCATCTAGCACAATGCACAAATAATATGCTTACCGTTGTAAAAAAAGTGCAATTTTTTTTTGTTCGAAATATAAAGTCTCGACTTAACGCACACATAAACACATTATTATGCTTAAACAATACAAAAGAATTAAGATGTGTGTGTGTGGATTTTTATTAACCTGCATTGGTGGGCAACTTTGACGTCGATGATCCTTTTTGATGGCCAATTCATACCACGGTATTTGTGGTTTACTGCGCAACGTCGTTTGACATCCAATTTTACAATCCAATGGATCCAAGTATTCAAAATCGTTTTGTGTCGTACCATTAAATTCATTACTGGCATATTTTCGTCGGTCTTCAAAATGCGATTGGCATTTTTGTAGTCGTTTAAGTGCATCTTTTGGATGCGCAAGCGTTGCATATGGTCGTCTAGAGCCATTATTTCGTGTTTTAAATGCTAATTCACTTGGCTTTGGCAGTGTCGTTGTTTCGATTTCATTTGGAATTAACATTTCTGAACTTCTCGTTGTCGTTTGCGGTACCGATTGCATTGTATACGAACCCATGTAACTCACTTCACTCGGATCATAATAATTTGTTGTCGAATTATAGTAGTTTCGTATGCCATGATGATATTTGGTGGCGGCGGTGTCGTTGGTCGGTGCATTTTCAAAAATTGTATGCGTTGGATGACTGTATGATTTTCGATACTGTAAACTTTGTGTTTTTGCAAAATTTAATGTT